GGGGTAACGGGTGACCCAGCTGGTGGGGGTGACCAGCGTCAGGGTGATGGGGCCACCGGCCAATGCGAGGCAGGGGACAAGGTGACCGGAATGACTGGGACGGGGTAACGGGGTGACCCAGCTGGTGGGGGTGACCAGGGTCAGGGTGATGGGGCCACCGGCCAATGCGAGGCAGAGGACAAGGTGACCGGAATGACTGGGACGGGGTAACGGGGTGACCCAGCTGGTGGGGGTGACCAGGGTCAGGGTGACGGGGCCACCAGCCAGGGCGATCGGGGCGGTGTCCCAGTCCTGGTGGCTGAGGGTCAGGTGTGCGCTGTGTCTTCCAGGATCAGTCTCTGGGGAACTGGAGAATTAAGAGGCAGATCTTGGAGGGGGAGGAGATCGCCTACAAGTTCACGCCCAAGTACGTCCTGCGCGCTGGCCAGATGGTCACGGTAGGTGGTGGGGCAGGAGGGCGAGGGTGGCCACAGATGGGATGTGAGGTGGGGCCAGGGGGCTGGAGGAGCAGGACTTGGTAGGGGGTAGGGATGGTGGTGGCACCAGGCACTGTCTAAGAGCAGCTGCCGCAGTCATAGAACCCCCATGTGCCGGTGTCACCCCACTGGGCCTCCCTGGAGTCTGAGCTATGTGCCCTGGGTCTGAGTCCAGGCCGTTGGGGCTGGCAGGCGTCCCCGTGAAGTGTAACAGTCAAGGGCATGGGCCGTGGAGCCTGGTGGGCGTCAGATCCCAGCTCAGCCCTGCTTGCCAAGAGAAGCCTGGTCTCTTCTGTATCCTGGGGGCCATCACCCTGGATAAGCCTGCGTCAGGCTGGAAGGACTGAATGCCCAGGGCATTGAGGGGCATTGAAGGGGGCTGTGCGGTAGGAGCCAGTGGCTGACCCACATCCCTGGAACCAGAGGGGACCCTGACGGGGCCATTGTTCCTGGGTCCCCAGGTGTGGGCCGCTGGTGCTGGAGTGGCCCACAGCCCCCCCTCGACGCTGGTGTGGAAGGGCCAGAGCAGCTGGGGCACGGGCGAGAGCTTCCGAACCGTCCTGGTTAACGCGGATGGCGAGGTAGGTGCCCAGCTTGGGGGGTGCTCGGCTAGAGTCCTGAGCGGGGCCTGGGGACTCTCGGGGCGGGCACGGCAGCTCTGGGCCTGATCCCTGGACGCGCTGCCGTGTCCTGTCCCACACAGGAAGTGGCCATGAGGACTGTGAAGCAGTCCTCAGTGGTGCGAGAGAATGAGAATGGGGAGGAAGAGGAGGAGGAAGCTGAGTTCGGCGAGGAGGATCTTTTCCACCAACAGGTAGGACCCCGGTGCCCACTTGCGGCTGGGGCGCAGCCTCTGGGGCAGAGTGAGCTCCTGCACGCGCACACACGTGTGCTTGCCGCATCCCCGGCGGGAGCTCCATCTGGCTGCCGTGGTTCAGGGTGAAGCCAGCCTTGGCTGTTACGGGCAGGGCAGAGACCTGTTCTTGCCTCCTGGGTCGCGCCCGTCATGTGGATTTGCGACATCACAGACCTCAGGGTAGCTGGCCAGGGGGTCCCCTGAGAGGTGGGTGTTGAACAGCTCCCAGATGCTCTCTGGTCAACCAGGCTTCCTCAGTCGAAGACACAGGTCCCTTCAATATTGGCTTTTGGGGAGAAGATGAGTGCCGAAGCCACACTGCGGTAAATGCACGTATCGCAAGATTCGTGTGATTTGTTTTGGAACCCAAAACAGAACGTGTCGCTCACAGGCGGGCTCATGGGGAAGTGGAAGTGGAATGGAAGGCTCTAGAAGTAGACACTGCTGTCGCTCAGCCCCTCCCTGGTGGGGAGGTGAGGGCAGCCGTCTACCTGCCGGCTGCCTCCAGGCTGGCCCTGATCATGGCCGTCCTTCCTTCCTTCCTTCCTGCAGGGGGACCCGAGGACCACCTCGAGAGGCTGCTACGTGATGTGAACCCACACTCCTCATCCACACACCTTTCTTTACCCAGAGCCACTGAAAACTATTTTTATATCATTGGCTTTCTTTAGTTCTTGATACATTTCTAGAGAATTTCTAAGCAAACTGCCATAACGTGTGGGTGGGTCTCCCCCAGCCTTCCCTCCCTGCAGGTATCCTCCAGCCTCACTTCGCTGCCACTTCACCGCTGCCCCGGAGACTTTTCAGTCCCACCCCACTCCCCATCTCACCATTTGGTCAAATTGGAAGCCCAGGGCCAGGACCCCAAGGTTTAGAAGATGCTCGGGCTTGGAGGGAGGAGGGCCGGCGAGGCTAGAGCGGGGACAGGAGACGGCCCCGATGCGGACAGAGCGCGGAAACCGCGTAGGAATTCAGTGGTGGTGGGTTTTTTGAAGGCTTTCTACAAAACCAAATTCAGAATCCAGGCGTCGACCTGGTGGGGCCGGGGGCCAAGCCTGCATTCTGGCTGCCCAGCTTCTGACAGCAGGAGCTCCTCAGGCAGCCACGCAGTGGGTGTGGAGCACCGTGGGGGTGGCGTGGCCCCCAGGGTGGGTTTTCGCTCCGCTGCCTGGGCTTCCAGATTCCCGTTCTGACAGCCCACCGGCCGGGTTTCTCGGACCGTTGACTTTATTTGGGGGAGTTTTCCCTCAGGTCAGTTCCTGACTCTGCAGGGCCAACGGGGCAGGGGAGGGGAAGACCCGGGGAAGGGAGAAGGAGGACAGTCCCGTTGTAAGACCTGTCACATTAAGCAGGGAGGGGACACAGCTGGTTGCCTCGGAGGCAGAGGCTGTGAGATTCAGAGCAGCTGTCTGCAGGGAACGCCACCATGTGGACTCCCTGGAGGAGAGCGCTGTGGAGCCCGTCCCGGGTTCCGGCTCCGTCTGCCCTGCGCCTAGATACACACATGCATCTACCCATACTGTAGCTTTCATCTGTGACTCTCTCGCTGAAGCCATGTTTCTCAGATAGGCCAAGGCCACCTGACTCCTATCACGACGCCCCCAATCCCCTCAGTCCAGCTTCCCAACGCCTGGCACCCCCTTTGGCAATAGCTCACCGTTTACACCCTCCCTCATAGATACACAGAAGTTATTTTTTTAATGGATATTTATTTTTTTACATTGGTCAGTACGCAGGTCAGGAGCTCACGCCAGGGCCTTGAGGACAGGCTGACTCTCCTCCCCGGGGTGGTGTGGGACTGGGGGTCACTCCGACAGCAAAGCCTCCTTCAGAAAGTGCAGCTCGAGTCTTAAAGCCACCAAAACTGAGCCGTTGGCACGCGCCGTCTCCAGGCCTTGGCAGGGTGGGGGCGGCACCGCTCCCCTGTCACTGTGCATCCCGCCTCCCTGGGGACTTGCCAGTGGGAGGAAGGAATGGGGGGCCCCAGCCCCAGGCCGGGAAGTAGCCAGCGGCCGACAAAGCAGAAACACCCGCTGCTCCATGTAGCCCCCGCTCGCTGTCCTTGCTCTCAGAAGTCCCTGTCCCATGTGGATCAAGGGGGGCGTGTCTTACCAAAGCATTTCCTCCTGGAGGGGCCCGACAGGCTACCACGCTGTGCTCCCAGTCAGGCGGCTGGTAGGGAGCTTTGCCCGCCCCAGGGATACCCTCTGCCAGCCGCTGGAAGTGGGAGTGCTGGCGACAGACTCCTCTTCCCCACCTTCATGGCAGGAATCACCTGGACTCCAGTGGCCGGGCTTCGTGCCAGCGCGTGTTCCGGGGGTGGGTCTTGGTGGTCTTGTCCTGTGCGGAGTATGCAGTGGTCTCAGCCACATCCTATGTATTTGGGGCCTGGGGGAGCAAAGCTGTATCCTGGAGTTGGTCTGTAATTTGCTGACAGCTTCACAGGCTGGGCTCAGGGACAAATTCCCCCCCCCCCAAAACCGGCAGGTCCTGGTGTCCAGACGCTGCCCAGCCCTGTCCTGAACACAGCACGCCCCAGGTCCACAGAACCCCCCACCCTACATTTGCCTTGGGTGGATTTGGGGGTGGTCCTAGGACTGCAGGTGCCCTTAGCTGAAGGGAGCGGGGAGAGGGTGTGGACTGTGCAGCCTGTGGGTGATTGGAGGTTCATTGAGAATTGAGTCTTTGGAAACACTAAGAAAATCAAAGTTGTAAAAGTTATTTATGGCCTGGGAAACAATTTGCATTTGTCCCCAAATACGCTTAGCTGTGTGCCGCTTAGAACGATGCGAAACCATCCCTCCGTGTAAGCCCATGCTGTGACTCCAAGCCTAGCGCCCTCCCTGCGAAGCATCAGACGCCGCCCAGCCCTGGGGGGAGGCCCACGGCTGCTGGACCAACGCGGGTTCTGGGGTGCACAGCCCAAGGTTAACGCGGAAGCCTGCCCCGCTGAGCCCAGGAGCCAGGAGGCCTGCGGGCTGACCCAGAATCCGATCATGCACCTGTCCTCATGCCAGCGGCTTTGGCTGGGGTTGGTCTGAGGCCTGCACGCGGCAGTTCCTTGTCAAAGATCCAAGGGACTCAGTCCTGGGGCGTCGCCGCCTGCAGCGTCTTCCAAGCCCTGCGTCCAGCGAGCGTCACAGCACAATCTGCAAACGGAGCTGGGCTGTAGCCTTGGGGCTGGCATGGACTTTGATTTCCGAGATTCGGTTTTTAAGAAGATGCATGCCAAATGTGGTGTTCTTTTTTTTTTTTTTTTCCAATGATTTGTAATATACATTTTATGACTGGAAACTTTTGTACAACACTCCAATAAACATTTTGATTTTAGGTTCTGCCTCTTGAGTTTATTCCTGCGCGGGGAAGCTCGAGCCGGGGCCTCTGTCCCTAATGAAGCGGATGTCTAAAACCCTCCACCCTCAAGGAAAAGGTGACTGGCGAGTATACACAGGCCCCAGGTGATGCATGGGACCCTGTCCGTTTTTCCTAGTGAGCCTCCGACGCTGTAGCACCAGTGGACTCTTCGTCATGTGAGGAGACCGGGCTCCGCCCCGGCATCAGCACGTCATATAGACGCGCCGGCTGCCTCGTGCGCATGCGTGGCAGGCCTCTGGGGGGACGAGCCGGAGACGGAGCCTGTGTACAAAGTGATCGGCTTCGGCCGCGCGCAGTGGCCCCCGCACTCCCCGGGCGAAGTCGGCCGCCTTCCCGCAGAGTCGCAACCACGGGTGGCTTCTGTAGGTAACGGCAGGTCCAGGCCTGCGCGTGAGCAGAGGGCCCCCCGCGCGACCTGGAATGGCCCGGGCGCGCGCGGTCTTGTGGGAGTTGTAGTCTTCCGTCCCCGCCCACGTGGACTCCGTTTCCCGTGGTGCCCCGGGAGGCCCGCTTCCGGCGCAGCTACGGGTCGGCGCACGCGGCCTCGGTCCGGTTGACTTTGCGGAGCCATGGAGGGCGGGTTCGGCTCCGATTTCGGGGGCTCCAGCAGCGGAAAGCTGGACCCAGGGCTCATAATGGAGCAGGTGAAGGTGCAGATCGCCGTGGCCAACGCGCAGGAGCTGCTGCAGGTGCGGGGCTGGCCGGGGACGGGCGCTGGGGCGACAGGGCCACCCCTGGGGGCGGACGTCGCGGCTAAAGCCTCGCGTGTCTCCACAGAGGATGACGGACAAGTGTTTCCGGAAGTGTATCGGGAAACCTGGGGGTTCCCTGGACAACTCCGAGCAGGTGAGACCCGCAGAGGTTCGGGGCAAGGGTCGCGAGGGTCTGGATTCGGGGAGGAGGTGTCTGCGCGTGCGCAGACTAACGAGGCGGCGCGGCGGAGTGGCTACCGCACGCGTGCACTCTGCAGCCCGGGCGGCCTGGATCCGGGGTGAGGGAGGTCCCCGCGGGCGCGAGGTCCCGAGCTGAGCCGTGCGCCCCTCCGGTCCCGCAGAAGTGCATCGCCATGTGCATGGACCGCTACATGGACGCCTGGAACACCGTGTCCCGCGCCTACAACTCGCGGCTGCAGCGGGAACGAGCCAACATGTGACTGGCGAGCCCGTGGGCCGCCCCGCCCCGTTCATTTTCACAAACGTGCTCTGAGAGGCGGGGCCCGCATGTGCGTACTGCCTGCCCGGGGCTTAGCGGGGTGGCACCGGTGCTGGGACAGACGGGACTGTGTCCTCGCCACCCCTCGCCTTGCCCCCTGCCAGCCAGTGCAGCTTGGATCTCAGGGGTGGGGGGGGCCCTGTGCCTTCCCAAAGTGCTGGCAGCCCAGTGGCACCTCCTTCAGGCCTTTGGGGTCTTCCCCTAGTGGGCCCAGGTCAGCCTCATATTGTTTGGGCGGAGAACTCTTGTCTGGACTTTGGAAGTGGGGGTGGTCAGACCCCACCGGAGCTGTCACCTCCTGCGGATGGGCAAATAAATTGGTGGAGGGCGGAGAGAAACCTCTTTATTTCCCTCCTGAGGGATCTCTGGGAAGAGTTGACGCGTGTCCCTGGAACCCCAGTTCGGAGGGCTCAGCCTCTCCTGGGTTGGGAGAAGTCCATCTTTCCCCTTAAGTGCCACCGGGCTGCTGAGTCACGAGGAATGTGTTGTTGCCACCACCCCTGTCCCAAAGGCTAAGGGGGACAGCCCTCCCCTTGTCCAGGCTTGCTTTGACCCCTCTTCCTTCCACCCGGGTCCTGTTGGAGCGCCAGGCAGGTGGTCCGCGCTGTGACACTGAGGTGCTGAGCCAGTGAGCCGGGGTGGAGCAGCTGTGTTTATTGGAACAAAGGGTGCTACCAAAATGCATCCCCATGACCCACAGCTCCCCCCCCCCGTCCTTGGGTAGGGTACAGTGAGGTGGGGTGTTGGGTGGCCTGCTGCTCCTCCTGCTTTCGCCTAGAGTCCCGGCCTGGGCAATCACGTGGCGGTCACTCCTGGATGTGCTGTCCTATCCAGCCTCTCACAGCTGCCACCCGGGTATAGACACCGGGGAAGTGGGGCCGGCCGCAGCCATAGCCCCAGCTGGTGACCCCAGTTAGCACCCATCGTCCAGACGACTCCCTGCAGGCCAGGGGTCCCCCAGCGTCACCCTGTTGGGGAGAGAAGCGGGGGTTCAGAGTCTGGTACCTCCCCTACAGCAGCCCTTGGGTCATTGGCCCCCGTAGGGGTGACCGTAGTGAGTGGCTTCCCTTGGAAGCTGCATTTTCACTATCTGGAAAATGGGCTCAATGCAAAGGTGGCAGACATTGATGGACACCCGCCACGTGGTCCCGGAGTGGAATGGGGCCTCCCGCTGCAGCCTCTGCCTGCTCTGCCGTTGAGACCCAGGAGTGGGATGCAGTGGGTACCCAATAAACGGTTGTGGAGTGGAAATTCCTCCAGAGCCAAAAAGGCCCCCTGCTTGATCCTCTGGAGAAGTCTGCACCGGAGCGTGGCGCCCGGACGGTGGGCTTCGTGGCAGCGGGAACCCTCCCTCCCCGGCGGCTGGGCAGGACCTGGGCCCCTGGTCGCCCAGGCCGGGCCGAGGCTCACCGAGCAGCTGTCCACGCCGCCCTGCGGGAAGCCGGCACACAGCATGCGGCTGCTGATCTGCACCGGGTAGAAGCGGCGGCAGGTCTGCTCGCTGAGGAGGCGCACGGCCGCCTTCTGCAGCTGCCGCGCCATGGAGCCTGCGGACGAGCGAGATGGGGCGGGTGGGGACCCCTTCCGGCTGCTGCCCTGCACCCCGCACCACCCCGGCCCCGGGCGCGCCTACCTCCTTCGCGCACCGAGCCCCAGCCGGTGATGATGCAGCGCGCACCATCTGGGGGTCGCGGCACGGGCTCGGGCAGGCAGATGGGGCGCACCAGGCGGCTGCGGCGCACCGGCCCCGCCAGCTCCAGCAGCGCCACGTCGTAGTCAAGCGTGTAGAGATTGTAGAACGGGTGCTTGTAGATGCGCGCCACGCGCTCCAGCTGCCCCTCCGCGCCGCTCAGGAACGGCGTGCCTAGGAAGGCTGCCCACTGCTTGGGGTCCCCATAGCTGGAGGGCGCGCGAGGACAGGCGTTGGCCAGAGCCCCCGCGCCCCCGGCCCCTGCCCCTGCGGTGTCCCCCAGGGGCCGACCAGGGTTCTTGGCCTCTTGGTCTCTGGCTGCCAGTCTGGGAATGGGCTCAGTGTCCCCCACCAGGCACCGAGGCAGCACCAAGGATTGCAGTCATCACCACCTAATATTAGCGCTCTGAAAATATTGGTGGCCGTGAGGGTCCGCCCCCCGCTCCCCTTCTGACCTCGAGCCCCGCAGGGCCCGGACCTGGGTGTCCCCTCTGGAATGCCGTACCCCTCTCCTGCCAGGGCTTGGGCCCTGGGGAGGACAGCTTTCTACTGGGTGGGCTTTGCGGGGGCTGGAGCTAAGTGCCAGGGGCGAGGGCTGGGGAAAGAAGTGACCCCAGTGTCCCCGTGGGCTTGGCCTGGAGCTGGGAGGGGCTGCAGCCCCCGGGTTAGGTGGGGACCACGGGGTAGGACAACCCAGGGTGGTCAGGCTGAGGGGTGGGTGGGCAGGGGAGGGCTGCAGGGAGTGGGGATGGGGGTGGGAGGAGCAGCCTGGGGCAGTGGGAGCCGGGGTCGGGGAGGGCACTCCGGCAAAAGAGGGTGTCACGGTGCGTTTTCGGGCAACAGTTCGGTTCCGGGTGAGCTACAGACTCGTACAGGGGCATTTGGAGCGTTTGGGACTCACACGTCGAAGCAGTGCGCCGCCGACAGCAGCCACCTCTCTGCCACCAGCACGGCCCCGCAGCGGTGTTCCCGGCGCCGCAGCCACAGGCTCACCTGCCACGGCCACTCCCCGCGGCCCGCTGCGCTGCCGCCCACAATCCTGCTGAGCGCCGCCGGCGCGAGGCCGCAGTCTGCGGAGGGAGCCAGGCGCATGGGCAGGTGGACCCAGGGCGCCTCCTCCACGAAGTCCCCCAGAGCGCCGCCCCTCCGTGAATTCCCTTGGGAGCCCCGGATGCGAGGGCGGACCTGCCCCAGGAAAACTCGGCAGGAAAGGACGCTGGGCCTGCTGCTTGGTCTTTGGGCTTTTCTCAAATAACATTGGAAATGCATTTGTTTCCTGTGACTTCAGCTTTGGGACCACACCTTCTCCCCTGCCGGGGGCCAGGCCGAAAGCCCCTCTCATGGCAGCCTCCCACATCTCCGTCCTCCAGGAGTTCCCTCCCACCCCAAGGCCTTTGCACATACCAGGGCCCTGACCCAGAGGCCCCAGCCCTGCCTTGGCACTCTGCCTGGATCCCTGATGGCCTCCGAGCCCTCCCCAGATGGTGCCAAGTGCAAAGGCCTTCCTCAGAACACAGCTGTGGAAAGAATACATGGGGTGGTTGCCGGGGGGCTTCAGGGACCCCGTTACCACCCATGGAGGGGACCTGTACCCACCTGCTGTCTCCAGAGGTCCGTTTTCCTTCTCAGGGGCGAGCCCTCCTCCCCGCCCTCTGTCACCACCCAGCTGGCTTCCCTGGGTGCCCCCTTCCCCCTGTGCCACCCGCAGCAGATACCATGGTCAGCAAGGGGAAGTGCCAGTTCCCCACCAGCCAGGGCACCATCTGGCCCTGACCCAAGACCAGGTGGCCTTGGAGAATCTGACAGCAGCCGCAGCCCCTGTCCTTGGGAACCACAGCTGCCTCCACAGAGAACCCGCCTGTATTTCAAGGCGGGGCTTCTCCACCTCTTTTGGACCCAAGGAGGTGGGCCCTGGGAAGGCCATAGCTATTGAAAAAGGAAAAATCAGCTCAGACTGAGAAAGTGACAGCCCCCAGGCTGCGGCGACAGACCCACATGAGGGCAGCTGCCAGGTTCACAGGAAACACTCACCCAAGGACTTGGCGCTGCTGCGAACCATCAAAGCCCCTGCTTTCATTGTATTTTTATTTTTTTAGAGACGGGCTGTGTCACCCAGGCTGGAGTATAATGGTGTGATCTCGGTACACTGTAGCCTCTGCTTCCTGACTCAAATAATTCTGCTGTCTCAGCCTACCCAGTAGCTGGAACCACAGGCGTGCACCATCACACCTGGTTTTATTATTATTATTGAGATGGGAGTCTCGCTCTGTCACCCAGGCTGGAGTGCAATGACACAATCTAGGCTCATTGCAACCTCTGCCTCCTGGGTTCAAGCGATTCTCCTGCCTCAGCCTCCCGAGTAGCTGGGATTACAGGCGCCCACCACCACGCCCAGCTAATTTTTGTATTTTTGGTAGAGATGGGGTTTCACTACGTTGGCCAGGCTGATCTGGAACTCCTGACCTCAGGCGATCCACCCACCTTGGCCTCCCAAAGTGCTGGGATTATAGGCGTGAGCTACTGCGCCCGGCCAGAGAGGATGTTCTGTCTTGTTTGGCAGCCCGAGCTGATTAACATGGTACCCTCCACTCCCAGGGGTCCCTCCGTCTCTCCCGGTACCTGGTAGCTGGGAGTGCGTGGTGGCCTCCAGGGCACCTGGAAATGGCATCTGTCCCCTAGCAGTGGTGCTTATGGCAGATAAGGCTGAGTTGGCAGGTTGGCCCGTCACCCTGCTGGTGGCTCCAGGGGTGGGTCTGTTGGGTGTGGCCCCCAGGACTGTGAGGCCAGCTGTCGTCCTGGGGGGATGGCTGGTGGTGGCCAGTGTCCTTGTGGTCGAGGGGGGAGACATGGGAAGGGGCTGGGAGGACATGATCTCCAGGATCCAACCCTTTAGCCTGGTGATGCGCGTGTAGACGCCCGGCTTCTTAACCTGAGCGCAGCCAATACCCCAGCTCACGATCCCTGCCAGATAAAACACGCCGGGGGCCTCCTCGCAGGCCAGGGGGCCCCCAGAGTCACCCTAGAAAGGAAGGAAAGAGCACTGGTTGGTCCTCCAGGGACCCTCTCTTCCCGGCACTGCCATAGCCTCCTGCGTTCCCACAGTGGGTGGGCCCCATCGAGGGCGGGGGGGCAGAGGGCACAGCGCGGGTCTGGAGACCTGGCTGCAGCCCCACGCCTGGCTGTGTGACCTGCAGTGAGTCACTTCCCCTCTCTGAGTTTCCATCATTCTTGCTTTTGTTTGGGGGCGGTAAAACAATGCAGAAAAACTCTAAAACTAATAACAGCAGCAGCCACGAATAGTCCCACCACCTAGCAGTGGCCCCTGATCATTAGCTGCCAGGCTCATTTCTTTACGTTGAGACAGAGTCTTGCTCTCTTGCCCAGGCTACAGTGCAGTGGCGCGGTCTTGGCTCACTGCAACCTCCACCTCCTGAGCTCAAGCAATTCTCCTGTCTCAGCCTCCCGAGTAGCCGAAACTACAGGCGTGAGCCACCACGCCCAGCTAATTTTTGTATTTTTAGTAGAGACAGGGTTTCACCATGTTGGCCAGGCTGGTCTCCAACTCCTGACCTCAGGTGATCCGCCTGCCTCGGCCTCCCAAAGTGCTGGGATTACAGATGTGAGCCACCGTGCCCGGCCTCACC